AATTCTCCGGATTTTCCTGCTTTTCCCCAAAGATTTTAGAAATTTCGCTGTCGACCGGGGTGAGTAAATAGTACACATGAAACAGGAAAAATCACGAAAAGTCAACAACCGGGAAAAATTTTTTTCCCAACGCGGCAAATTTCTCTCAAGGCACATACGACCCCCTCCCCCTTTCCTAACAACGACCAAATACGACTCCCCTTATGTGTTTCACACATCGATGCTGTACCCTGTCCTAGCATAAATTGAACTAATTGAGAAATAACGTAAATGCTCGTGAAATTTTATTCGCAGTTATAAAAGCAATTCAAAAGCATAGCACATTGCCACAGAATAGTAAAATGTATGAAGTTTACATCTTCTCAGAGGAAACAAGTACGACTTAATAGAACAATTGTAACAGGGATATTACTTATCACGAAATCTCACACAGGTAAGTAAGCTTTTGGAAATTGCTTTGGTATAAAATCAACTCGATTTAATCACTTTGATCTCTAGAATTGCTTCATTAAGCCGCTACTGTATCAAGTAGAAGTAGAATCCAAATAAAAACAAATTTGCTAGAAGAAAGGAATGACTTGGACTGGGAAAATTCTTGGTTGTTTCCACAATTCCTCCATGAAAGAGATAGCTATCGATCCGACGCGCGTAACCAGTTTCTTGATCAATAACGTTCTGATGGAGTACGCTGCGGCCACAACTGAACGGCATTCGATACTTCAAACATTTCTCAGCGCCGGTCCAGCTTTAAGGAACTTTCACAAGCAGTCATTCAATTCCGCAACTTCTGTTATGCACCGTTTTCTATGAGACAAGGCTAAGTATACGACTATTTTTCACACTACATATATACAATCTTTGGAAAAAAACGTTAATTTCGTTTTGATAGCCACTGACTGCTCCATCAGACCTCACTGTTCCATCTCCTCGCTGAGGAGAACATCCTTCGGCAAAACCGAACGATCATCCGGTGCAGGTGCTTGTGGATCTGCTGGACATTCAAAGTGTACACAATGGAACACTTCATTTGCTGAGTTATGGGTGCCGACAATCTTGATGAACACCACTGGAACAGCCCATGCCAGTTCAAGAAGTTGCCAACTTCTGTAAAGAAAGCTATTACTTTATAGTTGCCCTGATCAATTGCAGAATAAAAATCAAAGCATTCAATTGTGTTAACTGCCGTGTTCAGAGGCATGCTCATGCGGCCTGCATAGGCGGAATCACACCTGCCACAGCCCCTTCACAGCGCACCCTTCCTCGTGAAGGCGTATTTTACGGTATTGGAAATACAGTATTGGAAAGTATGACAAATTAAAGAGAGCACGATGGTCGGCCTGACTCCGCCCATGGTATCAACGTAAACTACCAGATCAATTAACGAACAAAACATTTTAGTGACGTTCAAATCAGGAATGTGTTTCCAAAAACCACTACAATATCATCAGTATATTGAAGTTGTTTTAGTGTGAAATAATTGGCTCTTGTAAACAACCCGACAACAGTCCGCGCTCCGAAACTTATCGCAAGAGCGCTGAGTTGTGAGCAAAATAGCCCCCACGACTGAAACTCGCATCTCTGGTTCAGCGGGCGAGTACGTTATCCACTACGCTACTGGGAGCTGCGGGTTCGAGTTTGAGGTCTGGCTTTTGCCCATAACGCACCTCCCTTGTGATAATTCTTCAGTTTTTTTTTCAACGCACAATAAATAGGCAAGTTTCTCTGTGTCCTATCAAGTCGCGATCACGGCCCAAGGCAAAAGTCCGGATCGACTCTCATCTAGACCAGCCAAAGCAACCATTTCTTCAGGGCCAATCAATCGCTACCAAACTTTGCCAGAAACAAATAGACGCTGGCTTGTACATTGTCTGCCCTCAGGAAACAGTACCAGTTCTCCCTCAAAATGCGACTACGATTCCGACTAGAAATAGAGTACATGGCAAATCCCAAAATGATTTTTCAGCACAGAAAGCTCGGTAATTTCATAGCAAAAATGAGGGAGCCGATTGGCTGTAACTTCTAAAACGCTTCGAAAACACATAATTATATGGAAACCGCTAGAAGTGAAATAATAAAAATATTCACAAAATGATAAAATACTACCCATCAATTTTGTTCACCCCACAAACTTCATACTTTTGACCTTAACTCTCACCGGCACACTTTTACCTATAGAATCTGACATTTATGACAATTATTGACACAACGTTTTGCGCACACCGTCTACTCCAAAAAGACCACGCCTATCACAAAAGGTCAGTGGTACAGTAGCATAGCGCATTTCATTGGCTATCTCTACACTACCGCAACATCTGGTCCGAATTTCATTCCTTTCTCTACCTTTTCGTGAAAAGAAACAATTGAGGACCGTTGTAAAAAATTTTTAAAGTAGTTTTCAAAGTTTCGCATTCATTCAACCTTCCCAGTAGTTACCAATACCAAAACTCTAACAACCAGCATCTCTGTGTCTTCATTCTCTTTCAAATCTTGTAGTACTTCCTCACTCATTAATTCAAGATGAGAAAAACCCGGGAAGGTGCACGCTGACCAACTTCCTTTGAATCTTTGGGCTTAGAAGGAGAACTAGGCGCGATATGCGTCACGAGAAGCCTTACTCAGACGTTGAACCAGCCCTATTTTGGTCACTTTTGGTCATCTTGAGCACTGATCCCCAGTCTAAACACACTGTCACCGGCATGAGTCCTTCGCTCCAAAAACGCGTCAGCAATGCTCTGCATTATGTACGCTTCTCACCAGCTGATCGGCAGCTGTCAGTCACCGCCATGCCATACCTTCGACTCCCAGAAACCGCGTAGCTTACCACTTTTAAGCTTGGAGAAATTTCCCTTACATTCCACATTTGAAAAAAGGATACCTATAACAAAGTGGAGACGAAAATTACTCCCAATGGCACTTCTTTTTGTAACCTTCGAAAAATTACTTCAAAATGGGACTACCTGATCTAGTTCACTATCTCCGAAACAGTCCTATCTATCCCATCCTTGATCTAAGGATTGAAATGTGTTTTTTTTGTGCTGCTGGATCTTCCAAGGTTTTCATGTAGAACCCTGATAGTTCGATGCAATAGCGCTCCTTAGAGGTGCCTTCAGACCAGAAATGAATGGTCCCAACTATATTTATGAAAAGACACAGCAGCACTAACTATATTAACAAACTAACATAGTGAGATTGCAGGGATAAAACGAAGTTGCAGAATTTTGGGGCTTATACTTAACATTTTTTCGATTTTTTTTTACTTTCCGTGAGCTAAATATTCACTTTAGCTATTCAACTAATTAATCTCTCTGTAAAATTTACTGAAGTGGAGATCTGTCTATCACCTAATCGAGCCAATGATCAATCGAAGAGACTAATCATTCGATTTACTATACTCTCTTGGTCCATACTTTCTTGTTAATCTTTGATCAAACGCACGTTTCCGATCAAATCACGATGTTAGTAAACTTGAGAGCGAGTGTTTAAAGAGCTGTTTGTGCAATATAGTAGTAATATACG